ATTATTTTCTCATTATAAATTAACATTATAAAGGGATAAGTCCTACATTTTTTTCATGCAATTTCGTTTTGTTTCAGCTGTAGTTCAGTTTTTGAACAAATTCTCTGCTTCAATAACTTTTTTGTGACTTTTCGTTTTCGGTGCTTTCTATATTTTATCGTCCATATTTTTCTGTCAGATGAGATAGACATGCACACACTTACACGCAGACATACACGAATGCACGCACCCACACACATATTGGGGGATGTGTACATCTATACATTACAGAATCATTTATTTCGCCTTTTTTAAAAAAAAAAAATTATTTGGCTTCTATGACACCCTTTTCGCTAGGCCAAATAATCATTTTTTTGTTCCCTTGTTAGATAGAATTAAAAAAAATATAACAGTTAACTTCTGTTTAGCACTTTTTGTAGATATTATTCATACTCTTTGTATATTTCGCATCGTCTTTATCAATACGCCTTTTGAAACCATGTTCCAACATTAGAAAAAATAAAAAATAAAAAAATACAAGAAACGAAAATATAGTTTTTCAGCGTCATTTGCTTTCAAATAAATAAATAAATAAACAGAAAAAGGCATGAATAAATAAAAAGAAAGTGTCAAAATAACCCCTTTCTGTTTTTAACAGACTGAGTTTGTATGCTCTCGTCTTCAGTTCTCAGCATGTTTTAGATTTTTTATGCTCAATGATGTCAGGATCTTTCCGTTCATCGACTGCATCTATAGAAGAATTTCTTTTTGTATGCTTAATTTCCAAGTTCACCATTTCACATATACCCATGCACACACATTAACATGCACAGAACCGTATTGGTCATTATGCGTGCATACATACATGCTTACACACTTAGTCACATACACATATTTAAAAAACGCACATTCATGCATAATTACACATACATTCTTTTATACAGACACATTAGGAAACATAAATTTATAGAAACTTGTTTGAGTGTTCTTTCTTCGTATGTATGTTTATACATGCATATTCATGTAAACATATACGCATATATATATATACACAGATGTTATGCATGCATATATCTATCTATTTACAGGGAGAACATCCCAGACATCGGCAGGGTGGATAACTTTCTCCCCAGTTTTGGAATGCGAGTATGCATGCATAATACTAACGGATTAACACTTTCCTCTACTCTGTGATCTCTGTCGTTCATAAATATGGGTGCACGCATGCGCATAGCATTAATGTCAACGAATAATACTTGAAGCATTATTGCGTAGGCTGAGATAGTTAGTGAACTATATTTCGGTAAACGTTATTAATATTTTACTGCAACAATTACCAAAAAGACTGAAAGTCAATGCGATTTTCAGAGTTGAGGTTTTTGCTAACATCTTTAAACATTCAAAAGAATCAAAAAACAAAGTATGTCCTATTTGTACTTCTTCAATTAGTTATTATTACTTTAAATATTACGATGAGACATTTCTGTTGTGTATAATAATTTTGTTAAATTTTTGGTGAGGTACCTAGTCGTAGTGGATGTAACGTTTAGCCAGGTAGCATCGCAAATCAGTTACTACTTAGTAGGGAGTGTGATATTCATTAGGTGACTATTCTAATAAACTAATCTGTAATTAGCAAAAAATAAATTTTGTCTTGCTTGTTTTGAGGAGGAAATGTCTATTCGTCATTATTTATGTTTCAAGTTGGGTCCGTACATGTTTGAGATATTTAATGACGGTTTATATTTAATTACTGAAGTTAATTTTTTTCCAAAAGAGTACAATTATCAGAGAAATCACGACGCTGTGAATAATAAAATGAGATATACCTACACTGTGTTTTTATGACATCAAAATATCCAATCAAACTTGTTCTCCATTATTTATGAGTCGGTGTCCTATGTGGAACATTTTCTTAATCAATCCCCGCGCCCACGAGTAAGACAACAATAACACTAAAATGCAAGGACCTACTGGAAGTGAAAGAGAAAGAAAAGTCTTTTGAAGGAACCGCAAACCCAACCCTAAACAGGAAACAAGACATAAACCTACTACTCATAATAATCATAATTAAAATTGAAAAACAGCTAACTTCAAAGATTTGAAGGAACAGAGACCATGGAAAAGTTCATGAGATACCATACTTTTGAAATCGGTAAATATGAAATGAATGATAGGCGAACCTATCTACCCTTATTGTGGGAAAAAATTAAATAAATAGCAAAAGAATTTCTGAGTTTAGGCGGAGACGTTAGAAGTATAGAATTGTAGACTTTAGAAGGAAACGGAAACCCAATCCTAAACAGGAATTTAAGAATTCTTGTGGTACTAAGCAAAGAGTAAGTACAGTAGGAGTGTTAGCAAAGTATTAGACCTTGAATTTCAGTAAACACTCAACAAAATGTTGTCAACTTCCTGGAATTCACTTGTATGCTTAAAATGTGTAATATCTACTGAGACTAATTATAAAAACAAAACAAACAAAAAATTGGTTGTTCTTGAGACGTCAGACGCGTACTCGTAGATTTTCTGATTTTTATTCAGATTTGCTATAACTTAGTACTAGCTATTCATTTTATTTTTACTTAGTTCAGTACTCGTAAGTTTTGAATCAAGCATATCATTTTGGAAAAATATCATTATATGTATAATATAATCAATATAGTTGTAGAATAACAATAATAAACAAAACTTACCGGCGTAAGAGTCCCAGCTAGCGTCCAGCTGGCAGACAAAAATAAAGCAGGTTGTAACTTAATACAAACCCTGCAAACTAACTGAGAAATCATGCTAGTATTTATATAGAAATACTTCCACTCAGGTACCAGCAGCCAATCACAGCCCAAGCAATGGACTATCCCACTTTAGCATAATGAGATGCTCCATTGCACCACAAATAGCTCTCTTTCTCAATGTTGAATTAGTATTCACTCAGCTTGTTCCACAACTGAGTGTTTATCTTGACCACGTGATTGTTCGACAATAGTTCTTTTAAACTTAAACTGATCGCACAGACACACATATATATATATAATGTCACACAGGTCTGTTTCGCTGTATTACAGCTCATCAGTGTAACTAGACATCCGAATGCTTCATGCAATGTCAATTGTTATCTTCTGTCTTCTTAATTCCTGTTCTTTTATTGTTTTCTCTCTTTAATAATAATAATAATAATAATAATAATAATAATAATATATATATATATATATATATATATATATATATATATATTAATGGCTAACTAAATTAAGTACACGTGAACAAATGATCTTTTATGAAAATATCTGATCAGCTAATGATGTAACAGCAGTTTAATAAACTTTGGTATTTAAATACGGTCATGGTGACCTGATGAATTTTATTACTTTTTAACAAAGAGATGTAATTTAAATAACTTTGATTGCGGCATGGTCACTGGTGCCAGACCGTTGGGTCTGAGTATTACAAATAAATAAAACAACTGCTGATTTTCACGCACAACCATCTTCATAATTTATAGAAAATGGTCAGAAAAAGAAAAAATATACCAGTAATCGGCAATTCTGTTGGAGAAAATACATTATTGATGAAAGACGTCGGAGGAGAATGACTAATCTGGTTCAAGTTGAGAGAAAAACAGCAGTTGCTCAAATAAACCCTTTTTTACAATGGAGGTATGTAGAAGAGCATTTTTGAAAGCACAAAACACCGAAGCCAAATCAGCAAAACCACCTCAGCAGCTACTCATCTGAAATAAGAACAAAACCCTGATCCTAGAATTCGTTAATTATTACAAACATTATCTTGTCTGGTGAGTCTCGATTTCTGCTGAGACACAGGGCCAGAATGTATTTTCAGTTCTCATCCGAGAACCGTCGATGTACAGTCTTACAAATACTTTCATGGCAATTGCTCCGAGGAGCTGCATTCGCTGGTTCCCAGACTTCATGAGTTCAAGCGCCCTACAAGGCTGGCATCCCGCTCTCACACCTTCACTGTCGAACCTCCTAAATTTAGCCGTCTCTTCTACTCCAATAGCTTCATGTTTCGCACCTCTCGCCTGTGGAACTCCCTTCCCTATTACAGTTTCCCTGAGAGCTATAAACTCCAGCTATTCAAATGTAATGTCAATCGACATCTCCAGTTGCCTTGATCAATCTATTACCCTTCTCCTCATCCTTTCTTCTATCACTCTTATCTGATCTTGCTCCAAATTTTCTGTAACTCCTTGCGTCCTAGTGGCTTCCCGCCTTGTTTGGGGTGAAACGCTTAAAAAAAAAGAAGAAAAAAGTCAAATAATCTTGAGAAATTGCAGGATGCAATAATAACTGAATGGATGTAAATTTTGAAAGTATGCTTCCAAGAACATTATTTAATCTATGACATGGCAGTTCTAAAGACAAAACTGTGTTCAAGACTACCATAGTATACCGGTGAGGAATTAATGAATTTTAATCCAGCATTATATTTCAATATAAACATTATTTTTACTGGATGACCGTGTTTGAATAGGCATCACCTTTTTTTTCAAACGGTGAATCAATATCCACCGGATTAGACATAGAAAGTTTATTAAAATAGCTTATAAGTACATTTTCTTTAATAAGACTTTCTATGTCCAATATAAGAATATTTCCATCGAGCCGCAAACAAAAGAGGAGGAATTGTTATCATAGCTCTACAATGAAAAAACGGCTTTTACTAAATGATATAAACCTTTATGAGAAGAATCGATGAACATAAAATATTTCATAATCACAGAAATTAAATTAATAAACTGTCAGAAAATTGGTTAATAATCAGTACAAAAAACGGTAAAAAAAAAACTGATCAAATTACGCCTTAAAATATCCAGATTTTATATTTACAAAACAACCATATTTTCATAAACAGAAATTTGGATGATCAATTAGACCGCTTCATAATGTTGTATTAGTATGTTATTTTTAATATAAATTCAGGAAACTGGTCCTTTCAAAGGTGCTTTCTCTAAAGAATCAACGTTTCTGTATGAATGTCCAAAAATTAGCTAAAAAAGA